ATATATATATTTATCAGTGCTACTTTCTCACAAAATGTAGGTTAAAGTCACATCCATCACATAGGTCTATGCTCCATCAAACCACCCATGTATTTTCTTCATTAGATAGAAAGCAACTCATTTTGTGGGGTGACGATGTGCTGAGAGGCATGCTTCCTTATCCATGACTGATACGTGAGTTAATAATCTTGCCTCTTGCAGGTGTTTAGAGACATCAAAGAACTGCAATAGATCAGCCACACTGATATAGGGATGCATTTCTGCAAGGAAACACTGCTTCTCTTTTAATCCTACATCAAGGCCTAAACACAACAGACCTTGTTTTCCCACACAGATTCCTATTTCTTTCACACCCAAGCATATGCTAAGAGTGCTCAAGCGACACTCTTCCTCCAGCTCTGGGAGGTGTCTTAAAGCATTTTTAGCTTACCAAACACAAGGCAGAGGAGAATCTTTCTTTACTCAAAGATAACCATCTTCAACTGCTTATTTACACTGCAGATGGAAACCTATAGATTGAAATAGACACAATTTCATTCTAAAATTGGTATTTGTGAGGCTATAGTTAAAAGGTGCAACCATTGTGTTGGAAAAACAACCATCCAGGAAATTCTGCATTGTTTCTCACTGTTCAAACAAAGTGCTTATTGAAATTAGAAGATGAATAACATTTAAGAACTGAGGAAGAACATACATCTACTGAACCAACAGGACTACATGTAGAAAAAATTAGAAATGATAATAAAATGGTATGGCTAGAAAGGTCTTATGACATATAAGCAAAAGATCAATCCCTGTTTGAAGATACAGGTAAAAAAAAGACTAATTAGAAGTCTAGAACTCTACTGTGTGCAACTAAATCAGCATAGCTATTTAAGTTAATTCAAGTGGAATCAAATTAGACATTCTGTCCTTCTGTTGTGCTAGCCACATTTTGAGAGCTCAGTCATCACATGTGACCAGTTGCCATACTAGACAGCATGAGTAGAAGAAATTGCTGTCATTGCAGAAATTCTACTGGGCAATGCTGGTGTAAAGGACTCTTTTTGACTTTTAGGTTAACATCTTGTTAAACATCAGACTCTCAAGAGGTCAGGGCCTGAACATGCCTGCCAAGTGTGGTGGGAAATCATGGTGGGCAAGAGAAAAATAGTCCTAAATACAATTGTTGTGATGCGGTGCTAACATTTGTATTACAAGAAATATACTTACACAAGCAGAAAAAAAAATTGATTTTAAGTTAAAAGGAGTTAGGAAATACTACTTAAACACTTCACCATTCACTCTTAAACATTCGTAAAATTTGCCAGCATCTCTACATCTGCTCATGGCCGATTGCACTGTGTTGCTCATCCCTCACATATTTTACATCTATTGTTCATTTCCTGAACCCGATGTCTTACCATTGTAACATTTTTAACATGTACTTAAACAAATAGAACTCCAGTAAACACAGAAAATTAAGACTCTTCCCAGCTTACAAAAAAGGCAAGAACTTTATTTTAAACAAATTCTCAGTTGTATATCACACATGTCCATATCTAAATCAAAAAATAATAATAATAATTCAGAGGAAACAGAGGGCTTCTATAAAAGCATATTGTCTGAATGTTACTCCTGGTCAATGCTTTAGCTAAATACACAGTGGGCATGAAAAGTGGAATATGGCACTTAAATAAATAAGAGCAAAGAGAGGAAACATAGTCACAGTCCAAACAATAGGTTTTTGAACCTTTGGTATATGTCTCAAATAAATAGCCATAAACACATGCTAGCCAATAGTATTTACTTCTAGGTCTGTTAAGCCAGTGATTGTGGGCAGGTGTGTGTTTCAAAAATAATTAATGGCATAATAAATTAGGAGTGGCATGGGCTGATTAAGGTCTCTGGTGTAAGCACACAGGTAAATTCAAACCATGGCAAAATGATGTGCAGTGGTGTTGCACAACAAAACTAGGTAAGAAAATGAACAATATCAATGTTAGAAATCCTGTGGCTTGAGTAGACACCCTTGATACCAACAAAAAACATCTTTGTAATACTATCCACAGTCCACAAGCTAGAAGGCAGAAATATCTCAAAGTTCATAAACACATGCCCAACAGTGCAATAACCATCTCACAGAAGTGTTGTTGCATATTGCAATTCCCCCCCCACCCATCCCCCACCCCTAATAAACAGCACCAGTGCAGTTTGAATTTAAAAAATTGGAAATATTGAGACATTCCTAAGGTTTTCATAATGACTAAGAGCCAGTCATATAGAGCTCTAGTGCAAACCTCTGCCCTGGCCAGTCTCCAAAAAACATCCAATGTTATTCCCTCTAGTTTGCAGATCCACTGTGTTAGGTCTAATATAAGGCCAGATTCAGGGGAGGAGGGAAGCTGGCATGCTATCCTGGGTTTGAGGAAAAGGAGCATGCTGACAGGGAGAAGGAGCCTCAAGGATGTTTTCCCTGTATCCCAGGATAAAGGGATGTGTTGAGATAGGTCACAAATTTTATGTCAATGAGTATTTGATTCATGCCATTCACCAGGATACAGAACTCAGGAGAGATAAGTCCTGTTGGCAGCTGTGCAAGTCCACTGTTGTCGAGAGCAAGAAGGGCCACTAAAGAAAACGGCCCCAAGAAGTCCAGCTCAGCATCTCATCACTCTACCCACTTGTCTCTGTAGAACCAATGGTGTAACATGTGCTGACAGTTCTACCTTTTCTGTTGATGTAAGATCTTCTCTGAACCATCGTAGCCTAGATCTTGGTAGTGAGTATCACATACATGAGAGCAGAGCTGCCTACCCTCCAGCAGTCACCTGGCTTGGGGCTATTTGCCACCCAGCAGGCCTTCCCAGAACCTACCTTCTTACACATAGGCGGAATCACTGGACTGAGTCCTACCAAAATTAGGAACACTGACTCGGGGCAGGTCTTTGTTACGGATCTCATACACCGACTTCCTCTTGGCCTGGGCCCCTCGAACTGCCAATTTGATCTTGCGCCATCCCAGATGGTTAAGTTCAGCCAGGTTGAGCACCACACAGATGCCACTCATGGCAAACATGAACACTAGAAAGACCGTCTTCTCAGTAGGCCTAGACACATAACATTCTACTTCTTTGATGCAGGGGTAGCGGTTACACTCATACAACCCTGGGACACTGAAGCCATAAAGAAAGTATTGACCCACCAGAAACCCAATCTCCAGGGCATTTCGGAACACCACTTGGATAATGTAGAAGCGTGAGATGCCTTCCTGTCTTCGGAGTTTGGATCTCGCTGCAGTGCGCAGCCCTGAGGGGTGTGGAGTCAGCTCTTTAACCTCTAAGCAATCTGGCTCTGTCTCCTTGCTGGTATTCTCTGTGTTCTGTAGTACCCCATTGACAATGGCATTTTGTAACTTCTTATCTTCTCGTTTGCCTCCACCACTGCCCCCACCCCCAGTTCCTCCAGGACCTCCTATAGACTCGGAAGGGTCTCTGTCGAGGGCTAGGAAGACAGTAGAGTATCGCCGTTCTCGCTGCTTGGCAGACTGGTGTACAGAATAGGTGATGAAGCAGAGACTGGGGGTGCATACCATTATGATCTGGAAGACCCAGTAACGTATGTGGGAGATGGGAAATGCGCGGTCATAGCAGGCCTGGTTACAGCCGGGCTGCAGGGTGTTGCACACAAACATGGTCTGCTCATCATCGTACACCATCTCCCCCACAATGGCCACAATGAGGATCCGGAAGATCACCACGACAGTCAACAGGATCCTGAGCAGAGGAAGAGGGAGGGGGGAGAGAGGCTCTCATAGGCTAAGTCACTAATGGGAAGTCCCTGTTCTTCCCTTCCTGTTTTGAGTGTTTACCAGCCCTGCAACTGGGGAGCTATCCATTCTTGCCTGGTACTGAATTGGGAGTCTGGGAAACAATTTTGTCACTTCCTTTGCTGCTTGGTGCTGGTGAGCTGGGAACATTTCATGTTACAAGGATCCCAACCATACACTGGTTATAGTCTGTTTGTAATATATAGATTTCATCTCTGTATGTGGAATATAGAATTCTAAACACACCTTTGCTCTGGCAAATGCATACAGAATCCTTTACCTGGGATAAATACAGAGATGCTCTACGTGCATACTAAGCCCTAATCTCAGCATATAGAACTTAATTCTTTATATAAACAGCTATGGGTGCAAATCCACATGTGTATATATGAATATATAGCTGCAGGTATATATAAACACATAGACTGACAAAATGCCAGCTATGTACATGGCTCCCTGGCACTAAGTTTTAACAGAGGACGCAATCTAGTTTAATAAATGCTTGTTAAAGAATGATGCATCTGTTGTGATGAGGAAATCCATCTCCCCATTTGCCCTTCTCTGTCCAAATGCAATTCTGCCTTCTTTGTAGATTCTATTTAGGGAACCGGATGGAGATTGGCGCTGACTCTGGAAAGTGGGGGAACCAAGACCGAGGCCACAACTCCTTTTCTGATGAGGAAAGAGTGAACCCCTCTCCCTGTGTTCATAGAGAAAGTGTGGGGGAGCTGGTCAGGAGTAGCTGGAGGAGGGGGGCGTCACTGGGCGTCGGGTAATCCCTCAGATGCAGGCAGCATTCTGCTTGGACAGAAGATGGGGAGAAGGACAGAAGATGAGGAGGACCGGCTGGGATACTTGGGGGTCGCTATGGACAGGAGAAGGTATTCCCGAGGGCCGCCGGACCGGCCGCTGACGGCTGGCTTGGTGCCTTACCTCCCGATCATAGTGGAGTGCTGCTGCACCGCGGCTTCCAGTAGCCTCTCCAAGATGGTCCATTCCCCCATCGCTGTGCATCCGGAGGCAGCAGACAAAGACTGGGCAGTACCGGGCACGTTCCTGCTCCTGGCCCCTCCCCGGGCCGCACCTCTCGACTGGGAGAGAATTGCCCCCCAATTAAAGAAGCAAACAAACAAAAAAATTTAAATCCACGAGCCCCCTCCCCCTTTATTGTACTTAAAAGAGGGGAGTGGGGGAAGCAATCTACGCGTCAGGACGGATGGGGCGTTTGGCGCGGGGTGGCCCGCACCTCCGGCGCCGTCCGGGGGTCCGGTCGGATCCCTCGGTTGCCCGGCGAGGGGCGGGGCGGGGTGGCAGCTTGTAGGTGGCGGAGCTGCTGCTCGCGGGAGGCCGGTCTCTGCACCGCTGCCCCTGGGAGCTTGCGGTCTGGGGAGAGGGTCTGTGCACCCGCCCCGCGCCAGTCGCTCGAGCGGGCACCTGGCTCTCCCGCGCTGCGGCGCGCAGAGCTGGCTGCGGGGTTGGGGAATCCGCGGCCGCCGCCTCTAATCCGCCTTTAAGTAGTCTCCGCCTGCGTCACGCCAGGTCGGCGGAGGGGAGCAGAGCGCAGCGTGCCGCTGTCACCGAGCGTCGGAGCCCTAGGGGCCGCGGCCCCGCGCGGCGAGGAGGAGAGGAGCCGGAGTCCCCGGCCGTGCCGGGGAGGCGGAGACCTCCAAAGGAAGGACTGCAGCGCCCCTCGGGGCTTCTCCGGCGCCCAGGTAACCTCACCTGGCAGCCAGCCTGGCGCAGGAGGAGCAGACGCGTGGGCAAGTGGGGAGGGGCGGGAGTAGGTAGACGAGCTTCTCTCCATCTGTCCCTTACCTTTAGCTGTGGGCTTGCGGAGAGACCACTGAAATTCCTTTCCTAGGTGGTGATGCTGATTGTGGGGAGGGAGCTTTTAGATCTTCCCTGGAAAGGACAGCTAGATGCCTGTGAGAGCACTCTGCTGAGGGTCCCAGCTCCGGTGGGTGAGGTGCTGGGGTGAGGAGGACCTGATGAGGTCCTGCAGGCTGCCACCCACAAGCAGGCTCCTCTTCTCATAAGGGTGCAAAGTATGTACCAATCAAACAGGTGCCTAACAATGAGCCAGTAGGCTGGTCAGGGTCAAGGTCTCACTTCTCCCAAGACAAATTCAGATACTCTACTTTTCGTATCTAGTGAAGAATAGGGCTACTCTTCAGGTCAACCCAGTTCAGTCTGAATCTAAGATACCCGGTATTCAGCTGGCAGAAACGGCAGCTCACAATCTCACCCCACCCCCACTTTCCTTATTCAGCCTTTGCTTTCTTCCCTCAGTGAGCAGATACTGGCTTTTTAAATTTACATTTTGTTGTCAGTTTCATCCACAGCAACTACTTAATTGGTTCCTGAAAAATTGAAAAAAAAAAAAAAATACCAGGCAGATAATTAGCTAAGGGTCAGTTTGTTTGATAAAATGTACCCAAAGCACAATGGATAAGGAGTCCTCATCCTTTAAAAGCACAACTGTGATAGGCTTGCTTACTAGTCTTTGGAATGTAATGCAGCTATAATTACCCACAGGGTACATAACATATATGTGCATTATATAAGCTACATCAAGATTTTTTTTTTTTTATTTTATTCTAGAACAACTGATCTGGTACCTGGTGGACCTGGGACTGGAAGAGAAGAGAAGAGCAGAGCTCCAGCTGGAGCCAACACACAATGCACTTGTGCATAAGCAATGCTTACAGATAAGACCTGAGCTTCAGCACCAGAGAGGCTGACACTTTTAGCCCAGGGAGTAGCTTTTCACTGGAAGAAGCAAGCGGAGAGGGGCCACTAAGGTGGAGAAAGGTGGAGGGTGTAAAGGACTGTAAGGATGGAGGGCAGGGCTGACAGGTAGAGAAGAGGCACAAGAGACAGAAGAACATATTTCTAGTTAGCTAACAGATGGGATGGTGATCCCTCTTGTCTCAAATGTGATGTGCTTTCCCCGGTTTCCCTCTTGCTCCCTTGTGACCCTATATTTCCTCCTCTGGCAGACATTTTTGGAGTAAAGGATCTCAGACAAAGAGAAAATGAAAGAGGAAGTCCAAAGGGAATCTGTTTAACTACCTTTAAATGTGCCCAAATAAGTGTACAACACAAAATCCTCATTTTTTAAAATATTTAGGTCTTTCCAACCCTTTAAAGATAGTGATACTAGTGCAGTTTTCAAGCACTAGACAATGTCTGAATTGTCAACCACTTGTTTATTAATTTTTAATGTTTTGATTATTATTTTATGTGTATGAGTGTATTACCTGCATATAAGTGCACCCATGTTGTGCAATGTGTGTGGAGGTCAGAAGATGTCGGACCCCCTGGAACTGGAGTTACAGACAGTTGTTAGTTGCCATATGGGTGCTGGGAATTGAATCCAGGTCCTCTGCAGGAACAGCCAGTGCTCCTAACTGCTGAGCCATGTCTCCAGCTCCTTGCTTATTATTTTGAAATATACTTCAGTTTGCCTTATAGATTCAGTATATGAAGACACACACACATCACCAGTACATAAACACACAAAACAGTTATACATAGAATATATACCATAGGGCACCTATTGGACTAAGAGGCTTGTTCTCAAGGTTACAAAAACTTGTTCTCACACATCATACTTTAAAAACAACTATTTTTGTTCATTTACTAAAGTTTAGTTGTAATTATAATGCAATAAACAAAAAATCAAATCCTAATTTTTGTGTTAAACTATATTTAGGAAATTAAGCTTATAGAGAGTAAGAGGCATTCATGGAACAAAATAATTTTTAAAATATTCATCTATTTGAAATGTGATTACATTCAATTTTAAATATTTTTTATGATTAAAGGTCAAAATCCTATCAAGAGAATGTGTAACAGGAATAGAAATAATGATATTTAGGAAGCAAGTCCAAGAACTGGGACTACAAAAATCAGGAAATATCCAAAATCTTAAAGATTTTTATTTTTAGAAACCATTCATAAGGTATTTTACACATCTATGCTTCACTTCATCTTTTGAACCCCATCTACCACATTTTCAATTAATTGTTTGTCCTGCTTGTGCTGCATTGACTATTAGGAGGTGCTGTGTGTGGCTAGACATCTCTAAGTTTCATTGGGACAGCATTTTATCTTGCTAGTATCTGACTGTCTCAATCCCCCTCTGACTGAAGATACTCATTTAAATAAAACCACAAAGTTCTTTCTATTAATTCTCATTGAAAGTTCATTCTACAGTATTAAAAGCAAGGGTTTCAAATGGAAAAAAAAAACTCATAGAATTAAACTTAACATACAGTAGGCCATCTGGGTATGTTTATTAAAAATACAGACGCTGAGTTCCTTGATCAGGTGTGCTAAATGGAAATCTATGGAAGTCAGGGTTCTTGTTTCTTGAAATTTTGAAACTTTTATGTGCATATGTGCCAGGAAGGGAATGAATCCTAGAAATCATGAAATCCCATCCTCCTTCTTCATAAATGTTAAAACTGGCCTGTAAGAGGCTTGATAAGTGAAATCTCATAGAAGCTGAACATGTTAGAATGATGATTAATCTCCTGACGTCTACTTTACTGGACTGTAAATCCTCAGGGAACAGAGGGTGTACTTTATATATCATCATGCTTTCTACAGTATCTTTAACATACAAGTGGAAAAGAAAAAAGTCACAAAGAAAGTGCTATTAGGAGTCTTAAGACTGACATAATTTTAACAGTTGAAGAATATGTCCTTTAGAGAAAAGAAGGTAATTTAACATGGTTTAGATCATGGAGACATGGTCACCAGCAAGCATCTAGGCCAAAATGAGTACTGGGTTGTTTGCTTTGCAAACCTATGTCTTACTTAAATAGCAATGGCCATTAACCAAGCAGGAAAAACGTTGCCACATTTAGCAGGAAAAACTGCAAAGACATGTTGCAAAGGGTGTGGGCTGAATATTCTATGTTGTGGTGCAGGCCTTTTATCCCAACCCTCAGGAGGCAGAGGTAGGTGGATCACTGTGAGATTAAGGCCAACCTGGACTACATAGTGAGTTTCAGGGATTACGAGGAGATCTTGTCTCAAACAAACAAAAAAAAAAAAAAGAAAGAAAGAAAAAGAAAAAGAAAAAGAAAAAAAAAGAAAGAAAGAAAAGAAAAGGAGAGAAAATGGAGTATAGAATTACTAGCAATGACGTTATTTTCTATATAGGTGTATCTGAATGTGCTCTTATTTATTTTCAACCACAGGTTCCAAGGTGAACTTGTTAACATTGTAGCTTCAAATAGTTGGTAAATAAAACCTCCTAGGACCTTTGTACATGTTGTAAGAATGGAAGCTCATCTACTGACCTCTACTTTACTGGACCATAAGTTCTTGGGAAAAGAGAGAATACCTCTTAGTGCTTTCCATATAGTCTTTAACAGCTAGGATTAGCTGAGTTTTATTTCCCCCAGTGGCCTACATACATCTGTTTCCTAATAAAACCATCAAATTGTCTTCTGAAGGGGCAAACCCAACCTGTCTTATGAAACTGAGAAGAACCTAAGTGGCAAATTAAATCTACTCTTTGTTGCAAAGTGATGTCTCTCTCTTTTTCTCCTTCCCTATGCTTAAATCCCATCTCAAATGTTTAGGTAAACACATGCTCAGACAAAATTTATAGAATTTATAGAATTTTGTCTCCCAAAAGGGAATAAAGTTGTTTAAGCTATCAATTGTAAGTAGTATGGTGGCTTGCTTTGATTTAGGAGTCTGTTGCCTTCAAGACTATTCTGCAGTCTCATAGGCCCAAATTCCAAACTGTGTTATTCCCAACAGATTTTGTCCAGCAGGTGGGCAAATCTACTATCTTCTACCTGCTAGTCCTTTGACTAAAGAAGTATGTATCCCTTTAAGAAAATCACGAGTCCAAATTCCCCAGTCCTCATCCACCTTGTATATAGAGAATATACTCTGTGCAGCAATATCTCAGGGACTAACGTAATATGGCATTGTGGACGAAGCAGATGTGTGAAATCACAGCAAATAAATTAACACTCTATTAAGAATCAAATCAGCCCTGCTGACACATAATCTTTCCCGTTTATGTCAAGTCGTGATTCCCATTCACATCAGGAGCTTCCCAGGG